TCTCTCCCTCCCCACAGTCTCTCTCTCTCTCCCTCCCCACAGTCTCTCTCTCTCTCCCTCCCCACAGTCTCTTTCCGCCCCCTCCCGTCTCTCTCTCCCCCTCTCTGTATCTCTCTCTCTCTCTCTCTTTCTTTCTTTCTTTCTTTCTTTCTCTCTGTATCTCCGTCTCCCACCCTCTCTCTATCCCTCTCTGTATCCTTCTCCCTCTGTATCTCTCTCTCTCTCCCACTCCTCTCTGTATTCGTCTCTCTCTCTCTCTCTCTCTCTTCTTCGCTCTCTCGCTCTCCCTCCCCGCTTCTCTGTCTGTATCTCTCTCTTCCCCACCCTCCCCCCTTCTCTCTCTCCCGCCCCTGTCTCTCTCTCTCCTGCCCCGTCTCTCTCTCCCCCCATCGTCTCTTTCCGCCCCCTCCCGTCTCTCTCTCTCCCCTTCTCTGTATCTCTCTCTATATATATCTCTCTCTCCCCCCCTCTGTGTGTCTCTCTCTCTCTCTCTCTCTCTCTTTCTCTCTGTATCTCTGTCTCCCACCCTCAATCCATCCCTCTCTGTATCCTTCTCTCTCTCTCTCCCACTCCTCTCTGTATCCATCTCTCTCTCTCTCTCTCTTCTTCGCTCTCGTGCTCTTGCGCTCTCGCTCTCTCGCGCTCTCTCTCTCCCTCCCTCCCTCCCTCTCCCTCCTCCCTCCCTCTCTCCTCCCCTCTCTCTCTCCCCCTCTCTTTCTGTATCTGTCTCTCCCCCTCTCTTTCTGTATCTGCCTCTTCCCCCCCTCCTCTCAATCCCTCTCTGTATGCCTCTCTCTTACCCTCTCCTCCCACCCCTCTATTTCTCTCTCCCCCCACTTTGTATTCGTCTCTCTCCCCCACTCTCCCCCTCTCTCTGTTTCCATTGTGTCATGTCTCACTGTCTTTCACTTGCTCGTGCTCACTCTCTCTGTCTCTCTTTCTCGTGCTCTCTCTCTCTCTCGCACGCGCGTGCGCTCTCGCTCACTGTCTGTGTGTCTCTGATTTATTTCCCACCCATCCACCATTTGTCCCTGTTCAATGTGTCTGACCTGTTTCCCTGGGATCACAGTCCTACTGAATCCTCACCATCACATTTCTTTTCCTGATCCCCTGTGGCTGACATTATAAATGGTTCCCTTTTGTTTGATGCAGCCTCCCTTCGTTTCATACTCCAGTTTGGCTTTTGATTCCTTTGCAATGAGAAGGGCCCTTAACCCTGGTGTTTTGAAGAATCTGTGCTTTCCATGATCGGTGTTTGGATAATGTATTTTGCTAGTTTACTGTTATTATCAATCACACACTAACTTGGCAATGTTAAAACTTAAATTAAATCTGAAAAATTTTACATATGAAAGTATTGATCAAGATTAATTATGTTCAAAGCTTATTATTACAAATCGTACTTGTGAAATCATGTTTGCGATAGTTGTTTCAGTGGGGCTTCAGATAGTTAAAGTTGACAAAGTCTTCTTCATTGAAGATCTCTAGGTCATACCTTTTGGATTCTACAGTTAAAGGTTTGCTACTTCACCAAGTTAGAAAACAATATCGAGACCTATTAAAACTTGATTGAAGATATGTGATGGAACTGTCATTTAAGATTTTGGTTTTCCTTTCAATGCAGCATGCTTGCAGAGAAACTAAATATGACTCCTGAAGAAGCAGAGAGATGGATTGTCAACTTAATTCGAAATGCAAGGCTGGATGCAAAAATAGATTCAAAACTGGTAAGAGGTTTTTGTTTGGGTTATGTTTGGCTCTGTTGGAATGTGATGTAATGTATCATTACCAAATGTTGAAGTTATAAAGGCTAAGCATGTAATGACCTAAGTCAAGCGTTTGAACTTGTCATTGTTTGTCTCCAGAAGATTCGTCAGTTGCTAACCCTCTAAATCCAAGTGAAATAATATCTTAATGCGCAGGGACAACCTCTATCGATGTTCTTCCTGACAACAGTGTAAGCTCCTGAGTGGCAGAGTGGCTTCTATTCCACAGCACATCATAATCACTTGGATCTATATAGTAGCACCTTTTTAATTTCGTAATATATCTCAAGGCCCTTCAAAGCAACAGTATTAGATCTGTGCTGTTAGTATTTTTTAAATCTTCTGCGGTAAACCTACAGGAGATCTTTTGTTCCCAAGTACACAAATGTTAGGGATTAGAGTTACACATAGCCACTTAATCATATAAGATTAGGAGCAGTAGTAGGCATATGCAGCTTTTGAACCTCTGCCATTCAATAAAACCGTGATTTCTACATTGATCACTTTCCCACCCCATTCTCCGATTCTTCAATTCCCTTTATGGCCAAAGATCTATCAGTCTCAAGCTTGAAAATACACAAAGATTGAGCGTCCATAGCTCTCTGCAATTTTGAGTTCCAAAGATTCACTTCCCTAAGGAGGAAGAAAGTCTCATCTCAATCCTAAATGGCTGATCCTTTAATCCTGAGACATTGACCTCTAGTCTGGACCACAGCCAGGAGAAATGGCCTTTCAGCTTCTAGCTGTACAGTCTCACTAACGTCCTGTACCATTGAAGCACAACTGACTTGAACTTGCACTCAATCCCCTTTTCAATAAATGGTAACATGCCATTTGTCTTCCTAATTGTTTGCTATGACTGTATATTAACTTTCTGAGATTTATTACAAGGACACTCTAAATATTATCATTTATCAGTCTTCACCTTTGCAAAAACAGGGAGGTGATGGCCTTATCGCTAAACTGTTAATGCAGGTAATGTTCTGGGGATCTGAATTTAAATCCCACCACAATGGATGGTTGAATTTGAATTCAATAAACAAAAATCTGGAATTAAGAATCTAATGAAGACCATGAAACCATTGTCCATTGTTGGAAAAGCTCACCTGGTTCACTCAATGTATTTGAGTGAAGGTAACTGCCATTCTTATCTGATCTGGCCTACATATGAACTCCAGACCCGCAGCAATTAGGGACAGACAGCAAATATTAACCTAGCCAGTGCTCCCCACATCTCATGAATAAACAAAATACAGTTTTTTTTATTCTGCCCAAAGTAGTTTCACAATTCTCCACTCCATTCTCATTCAGCTGATTTTTTTTTTAAACCAGTCACTTAACCTGTAGACACTTCTTGCCATGTCTGTGCGGTATCCTCACAGCTGGCATTTCCACCGAGCTTTGTATTGCCTGCAAACTTAGTTGTATCGCATTGCTCCCCCCACACCCCTAAGCCATTAATCTAGACTTTAAATAGCCGTGTCGAGCACTGATCTTTGACCTTCATTATTTGCACCCTGCTATCCTAAAAATAGTCTCATCATTCCTAAAATTGTCTGTCAAATCAATCCTGACCGATTGTTTTGGAGCCGTCTAAAATTATCTTCCTAACTGTGCTGCCTTACCTTTTGGATAGGTGGGATCACAATGCTAAAATAAGAGTTCTGTATCTAGCAAGAACTTCATTTAGTCAGTGCAGGGGTCATGATGTGACCATCTCACAAAACAAAATAATACATTGATTTCCATGTGTTCTCCAGACACACAATCAATTTGATTGCACTGATCCAAATAGAAAGATACAATCCACAGCTTCCAACTCCCTCCTTCAGTCTGATGGTGCAAATTTCTGTAGGTGCTTCTGATTTGGGGATTATGGATGGATTTGTCACCACATCTTTGGGCAAATACTGTGGATTTATACTTTTTTATACTTCTGGCAAACAATGGAAAGAGGAGTAAAGACTTTTCATATGGTAGTGTTTTTCAAATTCATAGCTAGTCTGGAGATAGCCAGATGACATTAATTGATGTTAAAATGTAATCGAACTTTGTAAATCCATGGACTGGAGTCAAGTATTCATTATCATTTATTTTCAGAGCATTGAAGTTCCAACAGAAATTTGTAAGAAAGCTTTAGTTTTATGTATTGAAGTGTTGAGTAATAGATTTTTCACCATCTTTTCATGGCAACTTTACGGTTTCTGTCTTAGCTAACTTTGCAGCATGATGATTCTTGTCTGGCTAACAAACTCAAGAAAGAGCTAGTTGTTTTAAACTAATTGAGTATGAAGAAAGGATCATTGTTTCATGCAGTTGTACAATAGGTGTTTTTTTTCTTTACTCTAGGTTTTAATAAAATAATTATTCCTATGATACCAGTAATAGTGACTTTTCAGAGGTTCCTTCTGCTTGAGACCCTCGTGGTCATAGATTTTCTGACATCTCAACACTAGGTCTGGTCTTTTCTTTTGCCTACTGAAATCCAAATTTGACTCTCATTCCAACAATCATTTGTGTTGACAAACATTCACCACGTATGGAAGTAAACTGATTCTGAATATCACTACCTTTGTGGTTCTGCAGACTGGGCTAGGCTTATTATGATATTGCCATTTCTCTAACTAAATATTGGGAAGACTAAAGCCATTGCTATAGAACATAGAACATTACAGCGCAGTACAGGCCCTTCGGCCCTCGATGTTGCGCCGACCTGTGAAACCAATCTGAAGCCCATCTAACCTACACTATTCCATTATCATCAATATGTTTATCCAATGACCATTTAAATGCCCTTAAAGTTGGTGAGTCTACTACATTTGCAGGCAGGGCATCCCACGCCCTTGCTACTCTCAGAGTAAAGAACCTACCTCTGACATCTGTCCTATATCTTTCACCCCTCAATTTAAAGCTATGTCCCCTCGTGCTAGCCATCACCATCCGAGGAAAAAGGCTCCCACTGTCCACCCTATATTTAATCTCAATGAATTCTCGAGCACACGCGCATATCTACACAAAAATGAGCTGTTTCCATTGAGCAGCATTGGCCTACCTTAGCTCACCTACTGCTGAAATTCTTATCCATGCTTTTTTTGCCTTTAACTTGACTATTTCAATGCACTCTTGGCTGATCTCCAACTTCTATCCATAAGTTATCCAAACTCTATCCACCCATCACTTTTGTGCTTATTGATCTATATTGGCTCCCAGTTAACCAATCCTCTGATTTGTAATGCTCTCACCTTTGTTTTTCAAATCCCTCCATGGCCTTGCAGCTTCCTATCCCTAATCTTTTCCAGCCCTACATTCCTTCAAGATGATTATGCAACTCCCATTCTGTCTGCTTAAATATCCCAAAATTAAATCATTCTACTATTGGCACCATGCCTGCAGCCATCAAGGCCCCGAATGCTTAAATGCTTAAATCCTTAAATCCTTAAACGCTCCTTGAAAACTACCTCTTTGACAAGGTTTTTGGATGTCTCTTTATGTAGCTCAGTGTCAAATTTGTTTGCTCCGAGGCATTTCCTAGGAAATTTGCCATTGTGCTGTATTTAAAGTGCTTTACAAATGTCAGCAGTTGTCATGAGATAATTTGCTACAGTGGTCACTAATGTATATAAAAGCTCATATACTCAGTATTTAGTGTCTTTCAAACTAGAAGGTCATTGAAAATCCAATAGATGTGAGAGTTCTTAGGTAGATATTTTCTTAACAATGCTGTTTCGTGCTATATTGAAAGGATATGTTTTCCTCTGCGGTCATTGTATTAAAGGCAAAGATGCGAGCTCGTATATGCAGTAACCATTAGATGTTACCACATTCTTTCCAGTTTAAGTGGATAGATAATCCTACAAAATGTTAGCAACCTTGCAATTATAGTGTGTCTTGTACGCTAGTTTTCACGTTTGAGATTAAACAGAAATTTAAACCAATTTCTCCATAGGCATGTGATTTTTTCGCAAGTATCTAAAGTGTCTTGAACTTTGGTTCATTTCAGCACTTCGTATCAAATTGAGTGCATGTACTTCATTGAAAATTTCCATGATCTTGGAGCTACGTTTTGTTTTGTTTTTAGGGGCATGTCGTTATGGGAAACAATGCTGTGTCACCATACCAACAGGTCATCGAGAAAACAAAGAGCCTCTCCTTTCGGAGTCAGATGTTAGCAATGAACATAGAAAAGAAAATGAATCAAAACAATAGGACAGAGGTAAGATCTGCAGACTTCTTTAAGCATAGCCTCAAGAGCACAGAGTCCCCATATGAGCATCTGTGTTGGACAGAAGTACAGTACAAAGAGTGAAGACATTGCATTACACCAAGTTCTGTAAATTGGGTTTCATTAGCAACCCATCTTAAATAAAAGCATAATACTCTGGATGCTAGAAATCTGGAACTTAAAACCCAAAACACCTGAAAAACGGAGCAGGTCTGAAGAAGAGTCATGTTTGACTCGATGTATTCATTCTGTTTCTTAGGTGTTCTCTAACCCCTCAAGCTTTTACAGCATATTACCTTTTAAATTACTTAAACATGAGGCTGAACCTTAAATTTGTTAACATTTTTGGAGAGCAATAGATTTTTTTTGGATACTCAAGTAATTGAGAGAAGGGAAGTAGTGCTAGAGGTAAAATTATGGTGTAAGAATATCCATCATTTTTTTGACTTAAATAAAAATGTAGATGAGCAGGTTAGTAAGTTTGCAGTCAATACAAAGATCGGTGGACAGTGTATAAGGTTGTCAAAGGATACACGGGATATAGATCAGTGGCAGATATGGGCGGAGAAACGGCAGATGGAGTTTAATCTGGCTAAGTGTGGGGTGCTGCACTTTGGGAGACCAAAGGTTAAGGAAAAGTGTACAGTTAGTGGCAGGACTCTGAAGAGCATTCATGTACAGAAGGATCTTGGGGTTTGAGTCCATATCTCCCTAAAAGTAGTCACGCAAGTAGATAGGGTGGTAAAGAAGGCATATAGCATACTTGCCTTTATTGGTTGGGGAATTGAGTACAAGAGTCAGGATGTCATGTTGCAACTTTATAAGACTTTGGTTAGGCCACATTTAGAATATTGTGTTCACTTCTGGTCACCACATTACAGGAAGGATGTGGAGGTTTTGGAAAGGGTGCAGAAAAGGTTTACCAGGATGCTGCCTGGATTAGAGGGTATGAGCTATAAGGAGTGGCGCAGGCTGAGGGGAGACTTGATAGGTCTATAAAATTGAGATGCATAGATAGGGTTGACGGTCAGAATCTTCTTCCCAGAGTTGAAGTGTCCAATACTCGGGGGCATGCATTTAAGGGGAGTGGAGAAAAGTTCAAAGGAGATGTGAGGGGCAAGTTTTTTTTTACATAGTGTGGTAGGAGTCTAGAATGCACTGCCAGGGGTGGTGGAGGAGGCAGATAGGACAGGAGCATTTAAGAGACATTTTAAGGGACTTTAAATAAGCTGATAAATATGCGAGGAATGGAGGGATATGACCCAATGGTAGGCGGAAGGGATTATTTTCATTTGGCATCATGCTTAGCACAACAGCCTGTGCTATACAGTTCTATGTTCTATGAATCAATGAAACATTGTACAATGCAATAGTTACAAATAAGTGTGAACATAGAACATAGAACAGTACAGCACAGTACAGGCCCTTCAGCCCATGATGTTGTGCCGAACTTTTATCCGAAACCTAAGGTCTATCTAACCTCCACCACTACCTTATACTATCATCCGTATGCCTATCTAATAGCCGCTTAACTGCCCCTAATGAGGCCAACTCCACTACCCTCTCCGGCAATGCATTCCACGCCCCTACCACTCTCTGAGTAAAGAACCTACCTCTGACGTCTCCCCGATATCTACCTCCTTTCACTTTAAAACTATGTCCCCTCGGAAAAGCCACCTCCACCCTAGGAAAAAGTCTCTGGCTGTCCACTCTATCTATACCTCTGATCATTTTGTACACCTCTATCAAGTCACCTCTCATCCTTCGTTGTTCTAAAGAGAAAAGCCTTAGCTGTCTCAACCTTTCCTCGTAAGACCTTCCCTCCATTCCAGGCAACATCCTCGTAAATCTCCTCTGCACCTTTTCTAACGCCTCCACATCTTTCCTGTAATGAGGTGACCAGAACTGGACACAATACTCCAGATGTGGCCGAACCAGGCTTTTGTTTCGCTGGAGCATAACTTCACGGCTCTTGAATTCAATCCCTCTATTAATGAAAGCTAACACACCATACGCCTTCTTAACAACTCTATCCACCTGGATGGCAGCTTTCAGGGAACTGTGAACATGAACCCCAAGATCCCTCTGTTCCTCCACACTGCCAAGAATCTTTCCGTTAACCCTGTATTCTGCTTTCAAGTTTATCCTTCCAAAATGAATCACCTCACACTTTTCAAGGTTAAACTCCATCTGCCACTTCTCAGGTCAGCTCTGCATTCTATCAATGTCCCTTTGTAACCTAGAACAGCCCTCCGCACTGTCCACAACGTGACCCACCTTCGTATCGTCCGCGAACTTGCTAATCCACCCTTCCACTCCTACATCCAAATCATTTACAAAAATCACAAATAGAAGAGGACCCAGAACAGATCCTTGTGGTACACCACTCGTAACTGAGCACCATGTTGAATATTTTCCGTCTACTATAACCCTTTGTCTTCTAAGGGTCAGCCAATTCTGAATCCAATCTGCCACATTTTCCCCTATCCCATGCCCCCTTACCTTCTGCCTGAGCCTACCATGAGGAACCTTATCAAACGCCTTACTTAAATCCATGTATACCACACGTGTGCAATTGAGTGTCGTTCTAAAATTGTGATCACCAATCTATGGTTAAAAGACTTTAGATTATTCTAAACCCTCCTTCATAAATTAGCATAAATTTAACAGTGAAGTAAATTGCTTCAAGTTAAAAATGGCTCCTGCAGTTTGCAAGTGATAGTGAACGCTGGTAATTATATTTTATAATTGCATTTCTTTATCCAAACAACTACAAATGACTTTGCATTTCCACATATGTGCAAAAATTGGATAAGAGATCCTAAACAGTTTGTAACACAATGTAGCCATCAGTGTATTGTAACTTCTTCCTGGTTTTTAAGTTTGTCAGCTCATCATTGTTTCAGTTGCAGCTTTTTGCGTGCATCAATTTTGTATTTTGAAAATAGTTGCAAGGACAGAGTTTCTGATTTATGTTCTGCTTCTTCAAATTCAAACGTGTATGGGTGGAGTGACAATAGTATTTCATTTCTCAGATATTGGGGAGAATTTTTGTTTTCTTTATTCATTCATGGGATGAGGGCGTCACTGGCCAGGCAGCATTTATTGCCCATCCCTAATTGCCCAGAGGGCAGTTGAGAGTCAACCATATTGCTGTGGGTCTGGAGTCCCATGTAGGCCAGACCAGGTAAGGATGGCAGTTTCCCTCCCTAAAGGACATTAGTGAACCAGATGTTTTTTTCCGACAATCAACAATGGATTCATGGTCATTATTAGATTCTTAATTCCAGATATTTTATTGAATTCAAATTCCACCATGTGCCGTGGCAGGATTCGAACCCGGGTCCCCAGAACATTGTCTGGGTCTCTGGAATAATAGTCCAGCGATAATGTCATTAGGCCATATGTTCAAATAAACTGCCCACTGGAGTAAGAGGGGTAGTGTACATATGGGAGCTTTCAAATTCACTTATGTAAATTTGGTGCTTTACATAGATTTTGATTATTTTCCCAATGCTTATACAGTGCAGAGAATTGTAAACCAGTTACTTCTCTGTTTCCAGTCAGAAAACGTGACAAGATTTATCATTTAAATTGACTACTGATAATGTATCTACTAGTTGAATCCTCTGGAAACATGATGCATTGTTTACCTAAAGGTTTTCCAGAAAGGCTCAGCTCAGACGATTCTCTGAACATATTAACAGTTCCTTGCTTATTTCTGCTTCTAATAAAGCTGAGTTCCATAGTTTTTAGTAAAGTTGAATTTGCTGTGATTCATCTTGTACTTTATAATCAAATGTGAATATTTTTAAAAGTTTAAAAATTTTTGGAGAATTTAGAAAGTTTGTGTACATCATTTGAATGACATGTATTAAAAGGGAAATATAGATGTAAGTATTATGATTTTGTAGACATGTTCTCGGTATTTTAATTGAAAACTAATATCTCTAGTCTGCCTTTGCAATGGAGCTGTGACATAGTGACAAGATTCAACATCAGTGAGGAAGAGAATTGTTCAAGATTAATTAAACACTGTTGTCAGTTATTGATTATTGTTTTCCTTCTCGCTGTCTGTCTTGGTGGGAACATAGTTTGGGTGATGGGAAGCGTGTGGACAACCTATGCGCCAACAGGAGAACCTCCAGCTGTGCTGAGAAGGAAGACTCTTTGCCATGTATTTCCAAGTGCAGCCAGAAAGGGCATGCTCAACTCCCTGTCCAAAGGGCTTGCAACTGTAGTTCCTTTTCATTCATTCATTCAGTCTTTGTAAACCCATCAAAAGGCTGACGTGCAATACTAAGGAAATACTCTACAACACTGCATCTATTCTGCAAGCAGGACCCTTCCACAAAGGCCTACCCCAAGCTTACCTCCACTTTACTTCATTGCTCTTTGCATCTTGTGTGCGGTTTATTGCTTTTTTACGCCTCTTTAAAAAAATTTGTGAAGTTTTGTGTTGTGTTTGACTTCAATCCAGTCATTAGTATCAACTTTAAATTGCAAGTTATAATTTGTGCCTTATTGTTGAAAAAAAGAGAGAGACTATTAACACTTTTGACAATTCTTTATTGTTTATAATCCTTTATTGTCTCCCGGTTTGACAACTCTTGGTGACCTTAACACCTGATGTCAAAAAGAGAGTGGTTTAACTTGCCCAAAAGTTGGAGAGGTTCAGAGTTTTCCGAGGAAGGAACGAAAATTTCTCTCAAAATTATTTTGGTTCTCTGACATAACCAAGACGAGTATTGTGATTTTCCTCTCAAGAAGGTGGCAAAACAACATCTTAGGCTTCAAATGCCAAATAAATTTATGAAACATTCTAAGAACAAGCAGTATCATGTTTAATAATAACACTTAAGCTTAGCCATATGAGAAATAACGTTCTGAGAAATAAGTTTCTTTGCAGTTCAAAACTGAGAAGTCAACTGGATTCTTCTCTCTTCTCAATATTTATGGAAGTTATTTGGTTTGATTTAGTTCTCAATTGG